TCGCTAAAATCGAACCACCATCCTTAAGGACCTCTGGAGCCAATCCATCTGCTCTTCCTCGTTTCAGATTAGCTATAGCCTTTTGAACAGATTCGATGGACCTACTTCAATGTTCCATCCACGCTGTCTGGGAATGGTGGGTAGTTGTACAATAGCTGAACTGCTCCTTAAAATGTTCCGCCCATCGTTCTAATCGTCTGGACTGGGAGCAGATAATAGTGTCGTCTTTTTCTGAGACAGTCTCACTAAAACTTGGCTTCTTAATTCGTTTCTTTTATTAGTCTTTAGAGCCCTCTGGTGTTACCTATAGCCGCCGCCTTTTCCATCTCTTGTTTTCGTTGCCCACCACTGCTCACGGTCGTTCCTTAGACTTTTGTTTTCGCTCTTCATCGTGTTCGTAGCCTGATGGGATGAGTTTACGAGAATCTATCAGTGCAATAGACTTATAAGAAATCCATTGGTTTTTAGTAGCCCTGTGGTTCAAATCAGTAATAGATGTTAATGCTGTTTCCACAGCTGTTCGTACATCAGCCTTGTTTTCAGCATTACCCAAGTGTGACCTCAGTTGTTCCTGGAATCTACTTGTGGTTTCCTCGTCTCTGAGTTCGACTCTAATAGGTCTTTTTAATGTTTTTCTTGAGTGCGATGAGGCGCGAGCACATGCGTGCCCGTACTAGAGCATGGTCAGAGTCCAAACAGGTATTCCAGAACAAGCGGCAGTCCTCTGTTAAGCCTCGATGGCAATATGGTCCACTTGAGTCGATCGCTGGTTTGGTGCGGGCGGTCGCCATGTTAGACAATGTCTCTCCTTATGCTTAAAATTAGTGCTTGTAAAAATAAACGTTTGTCTGATCGGAGCTACTGCCTTGACAAGTAATAGTAATTATGATCTTAAAATGTAGTAAGTTGTAAACAGTAAGGGAGAACCTAACTGAATAAAATTAATTAATGTGTTTCTGTCTCAATATTTGTGCTTGTTTTCTTCAAGGTAATAACCGGAACTGTGTGTAAAATATAAAACGATTAATTAATGCAAGCTTATAATTCTGAATAGAAACTATTGTCTACAACAGCTTTATGACATTTCACAATCAGTTTCCTCGTTAACTGTCTAAACTTTTGACCATGTAGTACTTTTGAATAATAGATTGGTAATATGCCAATAGGCAATAGTTTACTAAAGTACTCAGTCAGTCAGTCAGCTGCAACGTAGGACCAGGCACGTATATGCATCGGTCCAAGTTGCCATACCGCATTAGCACAACAAGATGAACACCGGATTCATAGGAGTAGTTAATTCAGTGGTGGTAATATATAGAAGAAAGATTGTGTATAAGGAGATAGTAAAGGAAGAAAGAATTAGTTCCTAGACAGATATGAAGCGATTTTAATCTCTTAATTTAAGGAAGACAGAGAGTGTATACACCGACGCCATTGTGATCGATTCTGAGCCATGTCACCAAGAGTCTCCAACCATTGGTTACGATAGTCACGCGAACCCCAACCAGGCAGTCTGAATCTCCCAACATGGCTCAGACCAGAAGTTAGTGACTTCAAGCACTGATGCCACGTTTTGGTTTGGCCGCCCCTAACTTTCTTCCAATTATCCCCTGCACTAGTCAGCATTGCGCGTCGTGGTAATCGGTGTTCAGGCATACGCAACACGTGGCCCAACCATCTCAGTCGATGAAGATTCATAACCTCATCAACTGATTTACCATCATTCCCTAATACCCTGCGTCTAACCTCACTATTACTTACCCGGTGATCCCAGCAGATACCCGCAATATTTCTAAGGCACCTGTGGTCAAATACTAGTAACTTACGAATATCTTCTACTCTCAAAGGCCATGTTTCGCAGCCGTATAGTAGAACGGAACGAACTGCCGCGCAGTATACTCGTCCCTTAATTGATAGACGGATATCTCGCCTGCGCCATAAGTGACGTAAGTTGGCAAACGCTAAACGAGCTTTTCGAATCCGTGCTGAGATTTCGTCAGACACCAACCCATTACGGCTGATCAGACTTCCAAGATAAGTGAAGTTGTCAACGCGTTCGACTACTTCACCCCCTATCCTTAGTTCAGGTGTTGACGCAGACCAGTCCTGAAGCAACGACTTGCATTTAGAGGGAGAGAAGTGCATCCCAAACATTCTGGCATTGTTGCTCAGTGCTACCAAAAGACTCTGCATTTCATCAGCGTCTTCACCAAACAGGACTATGTCATCTGCGTATTCTAAGTCAATAAGTGGACCTCCTGGTAGGAAATCAATACCCGAGAAGTCAGTCGATGAGAGCGTTATTTCCATCAGGAGGTCTATGATAAAGTTAAACAAAAATGGAGAAAGTGGACAGCCTTGACGGACACCACTTGAGGTAATCAGTTCTGATGACAGTTCGCCATAAGCTCTCACTCGACTAGTAGTGTTCGAGTAAAGAGCCTTCACAAGGTTTATGTACTTCTGAGGTACGCCTTTCAACGACAGACACTGCCACAGAACCTCTCGGTCAACAGAATCAAACTCTGCTTTTAAGTCAAGGAATACCACCATTGTCGGACGCCCATAAGTATGCCTGTGTTCTAGAACCTGACGAATGGTGAATATGTGTTGGATGCAGCCACGACCAGGTCTGAAGCCAGCCTGATTTTCACGTGTTTGCAGTTCACGAGTCTTAGTTAGGCGTCCGAAAATTATCGAAGCTAGTATTTTAGATACTATATTAGTCAAACTAATCCCTCTGTGGTTGTCACAGAATGATTTTGACCCTTTCTTAAATATTGGGACGATAAGTGATTATGACCAGTTAGATGGAGTAACGTCTAACTCCCAGATTTTAGCTAAAATATTAGTCAACGTAATCGCTAAAACTAGACCACCATCTTTAAAGACCTCTGGGGCCAATCCACCTGGACCAGCTGCCCTTCCTCGTTTCAGATTAGCTATAGCCTTTTGAACTTCAGCTAGAGTTGGGGGACCTACTTCAATGTTCCATTCATACTGTCTGGGAATAGAGGGTAGTTGTAGAGTAGCTGAAGGCCAGCTAAACTGCTCCTTAAAGTGTTCCGCCCATCGTTCTAAGCGTCTGGACTGGGAGCAGATGAGAGTGTCGTCTTTTTCCGAAATAGTCTGACTTACACTTGACTTATTAATTCCAGTTTCTTTTATTAGTCTGTACTAAAATACCCACCTAAATGTCTTTCTGATTCGTTTAAGCTATCTACCTGGGCATTAAAGTCACCTGCTATGAGTACTATATCTAAACGTTTGGCATTCTGAAGAAGTTCAGACAGCTTTCTGTAAAATTCATCTTTCACTTCATCCGAACTGCAGTCAGTGGGAGCGTAGGCAGAAACGACGAAAAGGCAACGACGTGTGTCCCTATACTTCCGAGTTCTTACCGAGCCGTTTAGCCGAGCAGCGCATAGACGACAGTTAACGGGGATCCACTCTAATAGCGCTTGTTCCGCCCTCATGCTTAGTGCTATGCCTACACCTGCCAGTCCACGAGAACTAGCCATCGGGTCGCCAGATACACGGAGGGTGTATCTCGTTGGCTCTCCGTTTTCCCGAGGTGAAGTCTAGTGAATGACCACACTAGGATACTGTATGCGTGTTTCGGAGACACAGCATACATCAATTGTACGAGATTCTAAGGTTTTTGCCAAGGAAGCCTGCTGACCGATTTGGCATAGTGTGCGTACGTTGAAGGCTCCAATGTATAGCTTGGAGCGAGGTTTCAGTAGACCTGGGACAGTGTTTTGAGCACTAGAATCGTTGGCTATGGTGATACTTGAGGAGGAAACCAAAGGAGGAAGTTTAGGTTTGAAAGTCGATGTAGGAGGAATAATAGGAATTGAAGAGGGAGGTTGAATATGAATACAGTGGTCTTGAGTGCTGTTAGAGATATGAGGGCGGTTATCACTTCCCGGTTGCCCACACCGTGGAAGGGTTCTGCTGGAGGTACCTGAAAAGGAAATTGGATTAGAGTTGGTCATAGTGACCTGAGAGCGTGACCGCAGTGCCCAAGGGACAGCTGCTTGAGGTCGGTCACACACGACCTTTTTATGAGTAGTTTTAGTGTTAGCTACGTACTTGTTGAGTCCTTACCGCCGGAGACGGATATCCGTGGGATAAGGCGAGGTGTGCATTTTAGGGTCGACCTTTTCTAACCCCACCCCTCCTTGTGGGAAGGCAGCATCGCTGTCATGCTGGTTGTCTGAAGGAAACACCTTACTGCTGTCACACCTCTGTACAGTCAGCAGTACGACTTCGCCTTCGGACCTTCGTTTTGTTGCTTTTAGTCTTACCGCTCTTCAACCGACCTGTCTGGCATGGTAGGACCTTGAGGAACGGTTGTTTCAGCCAGTATAGCTCAGTTGCTTCATCACGATAGGCAAGCCCGACCACCACGTCAAGGTAGCAACAACGGTCAGGTTACTAAAGTACTGCTAAATGATGAAGTGTTTAGTTCATTGAAATGAAGGACCGTTCAATTTTGGACTACCAGTGAATACCTGGATTAACTGGACCACCGTTCCATCCAAGTAAGTGGTGTGCATCAACGACTCCCACGCGTGGATCAAATCCAGGTTATTCGGTCTCGTGTGGGAAGGTTCAATCCCTGGAATATTGAGCTGGCACTCAACGGTATTAATTGCTAACTTCAATCAATCGTATAATTTGTTTGATAATGTGCTTCGTGATTCGGAAATCTTTCCTGTTTTAACTTGATCAAATTTCCCAAAAAATTTATACGAAGCATATATTGTGATACTGATGGATGTGTTGTAACAAAGACCGAAAATTTCGAAAAAAAAACTCGATAGTAATCAACGATAATGTGCCATATAAAAAAGGAGTTATCAAAAGTTATTTTTAAGTTTACCAAAAGCTATCAATTGAATTCTGTTATGATTCACTTTTGTTACAACCCAGCTATTCCTACTGCTTATTCTTGGAAACTAATTCCCTCGACAAGTCCCCAAATCAGAACACGGTTGAACAGGAAAGAAATTATACTCCAAATAACAAGGCTAGATTGAAGTAAGAAGCACAATAAGAAAAACGTCCGTATATTTATAGTTTTTACATGAGAAGATTCTAGTCTTCTCCAAGTACCGGCTAGCGCTGACTGGATAAGAATTAACCAATCAGCGTGCAGGAAAGCAGTTGTGCATGGAACATGCTTTAATCCAATCTATGTCCCGCTAATAAATTCTGACATGGAAGTATTTCACTGGTTAATAAACAACTAAACTGATCTATGATAAATCATCGACACTACTGATTTATTCGTAGGTAGGTCAAATAATTATACACATGAAATTTTGATTTACATTTTAATTGCTGTTAAGTTAAACATAAATGAAAGTTACGAATGGAATAGAAATTAAAGAATATCAGGGTTGTTTCCTCTTTTTAAAATTCCAAAAAAACTAAAAAGGCGGAGGAAATCTATTGGCAGTTAAATCAGACAAACAAATCACATTATCTAAATGCGATTTTCAAAAGATCTGAGATATTTACACATCATTAATTAGATAATGATTCATCAAGCTTAAAAATATTCCTCGTTTATCTCTTCACTGTCAATAATATAGTTTCCAATTTCAACGTCATCATCATCCGCAGTAGTTGTGTAGTTTTTATGAATCCGTTTCGAATTCGATGAATAATTGGAATCATTTAATCGTGATTGTTTATAATTACTGGTTGACTGAGAATAATTATTTGATGGCAATATAAATGATGTTGGACTTCTTGACTGAAATGGATCCAAGTATCTAGGTATTTTGTTGAACTGTTGATTGCCTCGTTGTTGTTGACCAGTAGGATGATTCATTATTCGATCGGTAGAATTATCATCATCCCAAGCACTTAGAATTTCATTTTCATAATCCACTTCATCAATTTGATTATCATCATCATGCTCAGTGTTATCAACCACTGTACCAATATCACCTTTGACATTATTAGAATTCACTGAATAATTAGCAGATGTACAATTATATTCCATCATATTGACTTCATCAGCTGCCTCTAATTCTTCAATATCAGGTATATGATCATCATCAATAAATGAGTAGTTTCTGTTTAATTCCATATACCCATAATCTCGACTGATATAACCCGATTGAATATGTCTGCCACTGTGATGATTATGATAACGTCCAGAATTTTTTGAAGAATTATGTCGTAAATTATTTTGTTTGTTAGAATATTCTGAATACTTGTCAGGAATTAATTTGTGAGTAGGTTTAACTGTTTGGTTAATATTCAGAACAGATGTACTACCACCACGTTGAATAATTTTCTTGGTTTCATTAACAGCACATCTTGCTTCGTGTAGTTCAGCTAATGAGAGATAAAAAAAAGTGAGAAAGAGAACTAAAGGAAATTTCAACGAAAAATCACTGAACTCATTTATATATCTTATTTACTTGCAATAAACAGGATATTTTAATGTGATCCTATAGTATTTTATTTGAGACATTATTTTATCTGATTGTGTACAGATGGATTAGAGTGAAAAAACAAAGATGAATTTCTGTTCTATGACCACTTCAGATAGAAATAGGTCGGATTAATTGTAAACGCCCTGGTACGGCTGAGAGTGAAGAGAGTCCGCCCTCATACGGCCACGCGTATATAGCCCCTGCCAGGGAAGTCCTACTCACTGCCTTCTCGTGGCGAGGGTGTTGTTTATGAAAATGAGAGGACAAAAAGCGAATTTCCGGCGCTTTAACCGGATCCCAAACCAATAGTGCACATGGGCTCCAGTATCCTGAGGGAACAAATGGCGTATGAACTAATCGTTGGTCACCGGCTTCCATGGGACTGCATCTCCTCACGATGCTCCACTGCCTTGTGGATCAGATCTTCAGGTCGAAGGCTCCGGGTGTGGCCCCCTAAGAAAACCACCTGCTTCGGTTCGGGAACCCAGATAGTATGACAGCCCTCACACATATCAACTGAAATCTGTGTGGCGCATATGTATTTGGTGCCTCCTCGTACCAACATCTATGTGTTAAAATAAAATAATAAACAATAAAGATGTTCTGTGATTTTCTAATTTTAAACATAACATTGGATTTATCCCATCTATTTATCACATGACCTTCGCTTATTTTTGTCTGGCTATAAATTTCGAGTTCAGTTTTGTGAAACTGAATTGGCACACTGGCCTTCTCCGCTTCGTTGCTTTGATTGTCCGTCTCAATCAACGAGTGTTTGAAATATGCGTACCTAAAATTCATTCTGGTATTTGACATATTTTATCCTGCTATTCTCTAACGCAGACTAGGTCCATAATTATATACGAGGGTAGCTGGGATGAATATTTCGTTAATATCATCATACGACCAAATTGAAGACAAATCAATAGGTCAAAAAAGTAGTATCATTAGTAATAGAAAGCATTAGATACAAGAGAAACAAAAAAGGTACGAGATTTTGGGACTCAGGTTATAGGGATAAGGTAAGTAGTGAATGCACCTACACCATTGTGGACAATTCTGAGTGATGGCACACAAGGTCTCTAACCCTTGCTTACGATAATTGTGCAGACCGAGATCAAGAAGTCTATAACTGTTGATATGGCTCAATTCAGTTGTTAACGACCTTGGGGACTGAATGATGACAAGTTAGACAATAACTACATGGAAAATCGAATTCATGTAAATTTTTGATCAACAATAAATATACATAACAACCAGGGCAAACAGGCCTAATACCAATCTACTACAATAAAAATTATAAAAAATAAGGTAAACTGTACTGACATAACCTGACTTTTAAGTAGATTCAGTTGGAGCTATGATAAAGGTGAAAAGTAATTTTGCGGTTTTGTAATGAATGATCTTAATAACAAACGAATCTTAGTTCCTGAACTTTAGGTTACATAACTGAAAATAAAGAGTGAGGGTAATCACTAAGTATTTTTTAGATCCAGAAACCATGTGATATGATCAGAAAAAACAAAATTCTAAATCAGGTATTTAAACAAAACTGTTGATTACTGCCGCTGCTTATATAGAGTCAACTACTGAATATACATTAGTTTATTTGATTTAGATTTTTTAACACATAAAGCTAAGAATGACATGAACATCGAAAAGATATATTTCGAGCAGGAACTGAGAGAATGATCAACATATAATACTTTGTTCCATCATGCAGTTTTTTTTAGGAAAGTTCCTACAAAAATACATTAGTAGACTATCTGAAGTTGCGAAGAAACGTAGTTATAATTCAGGCTATAACACAAATACAATCACTTACCAAACTCTTCAACAGTCCTATGTCTGTGACGATAAATCCACATACGACGATTGTTATTAAAGTAGACCGAAGGATCAGAAGTTTCACCTTGTAATCGATCCAACGCGGAACTGACACATTGTTGTAACTATTAGAAAAAAAACAAGTAAATAACTTGACTAGAACTTTTAACTAAGATCAATCTTAATACAAACGAAAAAACTGAATGAACACAAATTTAGTGTTGGATATTTGCAGGTAATCATCAGAAATTCGAGGATAGTAAACGAAAATTCAGAATCGATGAAGTTTAGGAACAACTATAACTTCTTTCTGATAAGAGATTAGACAAAACTGAACACACATTAGTTATATCCCACTTATTTCTACTAATTTATGATTAATACAACATAACAGGGCGAATCCATTAGACAAACGAAATGTTTTAGCAACAATCGTATTGCATGGAATCGAGTCTTACTTCTGCTTGACGTGGTGAGACGGCAGTTTAGTGGTAAAATAGCTTGATTTCTAATCATTATTTATTTATTTATTTTAACACATGGATATCGGTACAAGAAGGCACCAAATACATATGCACCACACAAATCTCATTGGATATGTGTGAGGGCTGTGATACTCCCCGGGTGCCCAAACCAAAGCAGGTGGTTTTCTTAGGGGGCCACACCCGGAGCCTTCGACCTGAAGATCTGATCCACAAGGCAGTGGAGCATCGTGAGGAGATGCAGTCTCATGGTAGCCGGTGACCAACGATTGGTTCATACGCCATTTGTTCCCTCAGGATACTGGAGCCCATGTGCACTATTGGTTTGGGATCCGGTTAAAGCGCCGGAAATTCGCTTTTTGTCCTCTCATTTTCGTAAACAACACCCCCGCCACGAGAAGGCAGTGAGTAGGACTTCCCTGGCAGGGGCTGTATACGCGTGGCCATATGAGAGCATTTCGAGAGGGGGAGCGGTCTCCCCCCCCACTCTCGGCCATACCAGGGCATTTGGGGGCATCATTAAACTGCAGATTAAAATGTCCGTCTATCTAGTAGTATAATTAAGCCTCACACATTACGTGTGGTTCAGTATCGAGTGTATGTATAAGTGTTAGGCTCTAAGTTACATATGATTGACTGCCGAGTGCATGAGTTTGTACTTCATTTCTAAGTTATATTAGTAAAGAATAGATCTTTAATCAGTCATGGGTACATCAATAAAGTTTGATACTGATGTAAACGTTTGAAATGAAACGAGGATACGTTATACTCTTCCAAAATTCTTAATTCATTCCATGACTGAGTTGACCTAGTGCATTTTTCTATTTGTGATAAGGTAAAATGGTCGACTAGACCGATAGAACTTCGTGTAAAATCCAGTTTATATTCTTCTACTTTCTGAGTAATCACGCTTAGTTAAGAATTTAGAAATCACTTTAATCAGGTGAATATCTTTATAATATCGTTGAAAAATAGCCGTATTTATCTATCAGTTTTGGTAGAAAATATTTATTCATGCATTATCTTCCTTCAAATCTTGAATTTGGATTTTATCTTAAACATTTCCCGATTTAGTTCTTTTCTTCTGAACTGTACCAGACATGTTCAGTTTACTACTGATGTCAATATTATTTAGTCATATACGATGGTTTCTGCTAATTTTTTTTCAATATGAGGACGTACTGTTTGATAAATTAGGTCGTACACTTTCATGACTCATTAAAATTTGTCTATGCTTGAAAAATACAGAAAAAGCAGATAATTTCAAGTAAGCACAATAGCACATAAATTATCCATAGTAATATATGTTACATTACAAACACAACAATACTAAAAAAATCACCTGGCGTGGATTGACATTTGGCAATAAAAAACCGCTATTCTGTACAAGGGTGGTGATATCTGCACGAGTACCTTCTCCATTGGGCAAACAAGCCACAGCGTCTCGGACAATTTCAGCTAAACTTACAAACATAGGGCGGTCAAGCCGCAGTAAAGGATGGTCTCTAGCCTTTGAGTTACCAGACCAGTTACGACCAGAATTATATAACACTAAGTCATGACTTAAAGCACTTGGAGCTGAGCGTAACGGTCCAACTACAGCGCAGTAGTTTTGTATGTGATAAACAAACGGAGACCATGGATGAGAAAAACGTTCAGCTTCCTACAAAGAATAAAAATATAGACAAAACCAATGCAAAACGAAGATTTCCATAAACACTACACAGAAGTGTAGACGGGAAGAAACATATGTGCAACCTTGCGTTTGTAATTAGAAAGAGAATTATAGCTGAATTACCAGCTAGCGCTGTCCATAATTTGTTAAGTGCTAAAAATCAACCTACACACTTTTGTACCATTTTAGAAAAATCTCGATAAGCTTCAACTAACACACACGACATTTTCTATCCGCTGATATCTTACAGCAGAGATATATTAAAAGGTAACAAAAGGGTAATCTCAATGACCGGTAAGACTAAAATTGTATCAAGTTTATAACTTGAAGTGCGCTGTAAATATCAAGCATATTGAAACAATAGCCTATCGCATAGTTTTCTCAGAAGAAATCGATCAAGTTGAGATTATTTGGGCGATAAAATAGGTAATTAGAATGACCTAAAACCAAACGACTTTGTACAATCACATTAATAATGAAATCTGCAACAAAAGATGAGGTAATGAGTAGGTAATTCCATCAACCCAAAGGTCATAACAACTTTCCAGTTCTAGTGATTAAGATGCAATCAGTAACAAAACTTAAATTCACAAATATAGTATCCTTTAAGATAATAAGAAAACATTTATCAAATAGCATATGCATACCACTAAGTGTTATAAGGAAAAAAATACTCATAGGGACACTTATTCTTTTAACATGACTTTGCTTAATTTATTAAAACCTGTTTAGTTGTAGCCACGCATCACGAGGTCGAATAGCTGGAAGTCAGTCAATCAGTAACAACGTGGAACTTCGTACGTATGTACATCAGTTCAAGTTCCCATACCACATTAGCACAGAGATTCAGTTATCGATTCAAATCTCGTAGTGGTAGAGGTAGTAAAAGTATAAGTAGTAATAGGGAACATTAGGGTTTGATGATGTTATTTAAGTAGTATAATACAGTGGAATAAATTTGGAAAGAAAATAAAGGACATGAAGAATTCAGAAGATTAGAGTTTGAGAGAACACAAAGAGTGGATGCACCTGCGCCATTGCAAACGATTTTGAGCCATGTCATTTAAGATCTCTAACAATCGGTTGCTATCATCTCGCGGACTCCAACCAGGTAGCCTATACCTACCAACATGGCTCAGTCCACTTGTCAGTGACTTCATGGATTTGTGCCATGTTTTGGTCTGGCCGCCCCTAGCTTTCTTCCAACCCACTCCTACACCATAAAACATCGCGCGTCGAGGCGCAACACATGTCTCAGCCATCTCAACTGATGAAGTTTCACTACTTCAATTGATTTGCCATCCTTACCAAGTACCCGTTTCCTAACAACTGAGTTGCTTACTCGGTGGTCCCAGGATATACGAGCGATGTTTCGAAGACACTTATGATCGAATACTAGTAATCTACGAATATCCTCTACTCTTACTGGCCATGTTTCACTGCCATAAAGTAGGATGGAACGAACTGCTGCGCAGTAAACACGTCCTTCGGTTGATAGACGGATATCTCGCCTACGCCACAAATGACGCAAGTTGGCAAAAGCTAGTCGAGCCTTTTGTATCCGTGCTGAGATTTCGTCACACACCAGACCACAAGGGCTGATGAGACTTCCAATATAGGTGAAGCGGTCGACACGCTCAACTACTTCACTCCCTATCACTAGTTCGGGTGCCGATGCAACCCAATCTTGAAGCAACATTTTGCATTTCGAGGGAGAGAATCGCATGCCGAACAGGCTTGCATTGTTGCTTAGAGTGATCATCAGACTCTGTATTTTGTCAGCGTCTTCACCAAGTAGAACTATGTCATCGGCATACTTTAAGTCAACAAGTGAATCTTTCGGTAGAAGTTCAACCCATGGAAAGTGTTATCTCTAAAAGCACGTCAACGACAAAGTTAAACAAGAATGGAGAGAGTGGACAGCCCTGACGAACACCACTTGAGGTAATCAGTTCTGATAACAGTTTGTCATAAGCTCTCACTCGACCAGTTGTGTTCGAGTAGAGAGCCTTTATAAGGTTAATGTACTTCTTTGGTACTCCTTTCAGTGACAAACACTCCCGTAGAACCTCACGATCAACAGAGTCAAATGCCGCCTTAAGGTCGAGAAATACTATCATTGTGGGGCGTCTGAATGTATGTCTATGTTCTAGGATCTGATGTAGTGTGAATATTTGATCTATACAACCACGTGCAGGTCGGAAACCAGCCTGGTTTTCTATAGTCTGCTCTTCACGAGCTTTGGTTAGACGTCGAAGTATTATTGAAGCTAATATTTTAGACACTATATTAGTCAAACTAATTCCTCTGTGATTGTCACAGGAGGACTTTTGTCCTTTCTTATAGACTGGTACAATCAGTGATTGAGACCAGTCAGATGGGATTATGTCCAGTTCCCAGATTTTACCTAAGACCTCAGTCAATCTCGCTGCTAATACTGGGCCACCATCCTTAAAAATCTCAGGGGTAAACCTGTGAGGGCCTGCTGCTCTCCCACGCTTCAGATTTCCTATAGCTTTTTCAACTTTGTAAAGAGTCGGAGGACTTACATCAACTTGCCATTCAGGTCGACTGGGGATCGTGGGAAACAGAAGTGTGGCTGAAGGCCAGTTGAACTGATCCCTAAAGTATTCTGCCCATCGATCCAATCTCCTGGATTGAGAATGAATAATATGTCCATCTTTTTCGGAGATAGTTTCGCTAACAGTTGGGTTCCTAATCCCGGTTTACTTAACAAGTCTGAACAGTTGTATGCTATTACCTATTGGTGCTGCATTTTCCATCTCTCTTGCTTTCGCAACCCACCACTGTTCACGATCATTGCATAGGCTTCTAGTCAGCTTACGCTTAAGCTGACTCCGCTCTTCGTTATGTTCAGAGCCAGATGGAATGAGTTTTCGAGCATATCATTTCACGCTGCCTCGGGGTGGGCATCACTTACATGGCTGCCTAACTGTTTTTCTAGTTGTTCCTGAAATATACTCTTAGCTTGACTATCATTAAGTAGTACCCTAAGGGGTTTCCTTGCACCATCTTTCCTACGTCTAGTAAGGCGTAGACAAATACGCGCTCGCACTAGAGCATGATCTGAGTCTAAGCATGTGCTCCAGAATGAGCAGCAGTCTTCTATCGAGCCTCTCCATCGGCGATCAATTTGGGTCCAGTGTTGGGACGAATTAGGGGGTCGCCATGTTAAAAGATGTTTTTCCTTATGCTTAAAGTTAGTGTTTGCAAGAAACAGGCGGTTATCTGAGCACAGCTACAACAGACGGTCTCCATTATCTGTTCTTTGAGCCCGCAACACCATAAGATCCACCCAGGTGTCTTTCCTTTTCGCTTAGTTTACCTACTTGAGCATTAAAGTCACCAGTCACTCTTACTAGATCAAAGCGCCTAGCTTTTCAGAGAAGATCGGAAAGCTTTCTGTAAAACTCATCTTTTACATCATCTGAGCTGCAGTCAGTGGGACAGTAGGCAGAGACGACGAAGAGCCAACGACGAGTGTCTCTATCTTTTCGAGTCCTTCCTGCTCCGTTTAGTCGGACAGAGCACAAACGACTGTCTACTGGGATCCAGTCTAAGAGAGGTAGTTCTGCCCTAGGACTCAATGCTATACCTACGCCAGCGAGGTCACGGGAAGCAGCATCAGGGCTTCCAGATACACAAAGCGTAAATCGAGTTGGTTCGTTACTTTGACATGGTGAGGTCAAATGAATGACACTACTTGGATCCTGTGTGCGCGTTTCGGAGACGCAGCACACGTCGATGGAGCGAGATTCTAAAGTTCTAGCTAAGGAAGCCTGTTGTCCTATTTGGTACAGTGTTCGGACGTTGAAAGCTCCTATGTGTAGTTTAGAGCGTGGTTTCAGGAGACCAGGAATAACTTTCCGCGTACTCGAATCGTTCGCACTAGCGGGGCGAGGTGATAAAGGGACGTGAGAAGGGTTAGTCGTGGAGATAAGAGAGTTATTAGGAGGTGTATGAAGGATTTGAATGTGACCAACTTGGTCTCGTGTGCTGTTACGGGTATGAGGGCTGATATCACTTCCCGGTTGCCCACACCGTGGAAGGGTATTTCTTGAAAGACCTGAAAAGGAAATCGGATTAGTGTTGATCTTAGCGACGTGAGTGCGTGACCGCAGAGCCCAAGGGACAACTGCTTGAGGCCGGTCGGGCACGGCCTTTTTGTGGGAGGTTTTTAATGTGTTAGCTCCGTTCTTCAAAGGGCCTTACCGCCGGAGACGGAAATCCGTGGGGTAAGGTGAGGTGTGACATTTTTAGGGTCAACCTTTTCTAACCCCTTCCTTCCTTGTGAGAAGACAGCATCGCTGCAGATGCTGGTTATCCGAGGAAAACACCTTAGTGCTGTCATACCTCTGTACAGTCAGCAGTACTGTAGTGAGGCAGAACACTGATGAGGACAACCGAATTGTATCTAGCTCATATTACAGAGTTATTTGGTAAAATAGAAAAACTATATATTAAATCGTTAATTTGCAAAATATTAATCCTTCATATTAAAATGAACTGTTCCTGTTTCAAATATCAATCCATTGACTGACATTTCATTGTTCATGATTTTTCATAAAAATTCCATTGTGTTGCCGCTCTTCCTCTCTTGATTTTTCCCCATCTTCTGCAGCCAGCCATTACGTTTGAAACTCGCGTTATATACTACTTATTATATCAATATAAGTAGCGCGCACTACAGTACGACTTCGCCCTTGAGTTGCTGCTTTTAGTCTTACCGTTCTCCAATCGACCTGCATGGCATGGTAGAACCTGCAGGAACATGTGTTCCAGTCAATATAGCTTGGTTGGGTCATCACGATAGGCAAGCCCGACCACCACGTCAAGGTAGCAGCTACGGTCGGGCTCGAAGTATTCAATGGTAAGTCCTAAACAAAAGCATCATCAACGTAGGTGGGTAACCTAATGTTTAGAATACTCAGCTTTTAACAAGTAAGTTGTAGGTTCAAATTTCGATCCACCTATTTCGGTTTGGGTAGTTGGATAGTGTCAATAGCCTATACAGTATAGCTTAAAGATGAGTATAATAATTTGTACATGGTCAATGAGTTGCACTCATAAAACTCATCAACAAGAAGTAACAAAAAATAAAAGTGGGACTTGAGGAATTCAGTTTAATCAGCATAGTTATTAGTATCCAAGTGACCAATTCACTTTTATACGAGTAATTTTAGGTGTAATAGATGAATAAATTAATAAGTTGATATTATGGACAAAGTAAAAGTTATCTGTTTTATTATTAGTTAATTTATATTTAGACGCATAAAAATGCAAACACAAAACTTACTTGCAATTGAAAATCAGCCTTCTCTTCCTTTGAAAATGGCCGGAGTTTCCATCTAGTTGGACTGGAATGAAAGAGAAGCTAACTTACAATACCACATGACTGATGCATAATAGAAAGTATTGGTTTCTGTAGAGAACAGATGTGATCGAATAACGACAAATATAGAAAGCCTCTAATGTCGAATAATTTCACAAAAAATACATGACACAGAAAAATGCCGATTACATAATCTTTATGCCATAATTGCATAAATGAACAATTTGTCGGAACATTGTGTTTCTGTGCGACAACACTTACGTACAGTGAAATATCATGATCAATTCGTGATTAACTGTTTTGTTTCCGTGTTGCTGGAAGGAGTAACATTTTGAATTAAGAAAGCCATTATGACACATAGTTTTTTATTCCATTTGTTTAAAACACGAACTTTACTTAAGTACAGGCACCGAGCATCGACTGAGAGTGTAAATAATAGTAAGAAGACTTTACGAATGTAAAATCAGTGCATATCAATAACCAAAGAACCATTTTAATGTTGATCACAATCATTATTCCTGTCCTTAAAGTCGTATATGTTTAGATTAAAAAATTTATCTGTTTAATTTTCAATATTTAAGGATAAAATAACTTAAAAAATACATATATCTTAAAAACAAAATACGTGAAAAACAGATTTATGGTCACAACCGAAATTTGAAATCTCAACAGTGAAAGTATATGGCTGAAAAACTAGATGAAGTTAAACTTACTAAAGTGGTGGAGGGATATCATCGTCGGAATAAAGTCGATTATCTTCATGGGATATTGACTGTTGAGAGTGTCTTGATGAAATGTTTCTTCTAATCTTTTGGATGTCTCCACTTTCCTTATCGCCATCATCTGACTCAACTTGGCAATCATCTATTCGCAAACATCTTTCACCTTCATCAATTTCTGAGTCTTCTACATCACCATCACCATCAGATCCTTCAGAATACTGTTTTTCCTTAACTGAAGAATTTGTGTTCTTAACGGGTTTGACTTTACTCCTCCCGCTCAAAAGCAAGGAGTCTGTTATCGACAAAACTGCATCTGTCAACCCACCAAGACCACGAGGAGCTCGAAGCCAGTCAGAAAACAAACTCGTCAACTCTCTGGTTTCCAGTTCAAATTTTTGGATCCATTCTTGGTCGACTTTAGGGTTTATTCCTGATGGGGGGCAAAGGAGCCAACACCACTGATGAATGCGTGGTTTTAAATTGACGAACGGTCTCGGACAAACAAGCCGGCGAGAACTATTACGTATGACACTTTCGGGCGAACTTTCTGCGGTAAGAAAATCTAATGCATGATGAGTTACAGAAGACCAGTTTTCAACCTGAATAAAAATCATGTTACATCAGAACAAAACTAAACTAAATGTAGATCGAAATGACTAATTGTCTGTAAACTGATAGTCGTGCAATTGGGTTGATACACCAAGGCAAACTAAGGACCAAACAGACAAAATATCGTCTAATTGTTACCAATGAAGGATTTTTATTTACTACAGTAAAGGCGCTTAAACATCTTAAGAGCTTCGCATTCAGTTCATATATATGTAATGATACAAAACTGATTGTCACTGAAGTAGGTAGTACAATCGTGGATATTACACAAAGTAATAGAAAAGGTTAAAATCTACTCACTGACTTGTGATTTATAGAAATCAAAAAGTTCTTGACAGCAAAGTGTTAACTGATGAGCATCTCAGAAATTATCCAATCGTACTAAAAGCTATGAAATGATTGACGTTAATAAACATTTGCGTCTTAAAAATAAAAGTTTTAGCTCTAAGCATGTGCAGTTTGTCACTGCTTTCCCTAGCTACTATAGTAACTTAAAAATGACCTTCTTACAAATACCACATAAGTTAGATTTCTATGCCCCCAAATGCCTTGGTACGGCTGAGAGTGGGGAGAACCAGTTTACCCTCTCGAAGTTCTCTCACATGAACACATATATACAGCTACTATCAGGGAAGTCCTACTCACTGCCTTCTCGTGGTGCACATGAGCTCCATTACCCTGGAGAAACAAATGGTGTATGAACATACTGTTGGTCACTGGTTACCGTGGGACTGCATCTCCTAACGTTGCTCTACTGCCTAGTAGATTAGACCCATAGGTCAAAGGCTCGGGATATGGCCCTCTAAGAAAACCACCAGCTTCTATTTTGGCTCCCAGGCAGTATTCCAGCTCTCACACCAATCGAATGAAGTGTGGCACACATATATTCGGTACCTAATTGTACCAGTGTTTATGTGTTTGAATAAATAAATGTTTTTCTTGCATTCTAATACACTGACTATGAATGAGGAACTGCAGAAGTTTGATGGATATGTAAGTTTATAGAAGGACAGAAAAGTTTGGGTCGTAAAGTGATTAGAGATTTCATGGAAAGGAAAATTCTATCCGCTGAATTCTCTTTATTTTTATTCAATGACACAATCGGTTAATTACACGAACTAAGGAATTCATTTTTAAGGAAGAAATTGAACTACATTCTTTCAAAACCATTTCGAAGATAAACACTTTATATAATTTACCCGATCGATCCAGCTGCAACCTCTCCCAACCTTTCTTAGCCTGTTTTGATTGCAAACTTGCCATTCACGAACATATTCACAAATCTGAGCTGTAGTTAATCTCCTCCGTACACCCCCGTGTGTAAGAAATCCTCTAAGTAAACAGAAAAAGCCATTTTCTGACCTGTATGTAAATATAAAAAATTGATACGGATATTTAAATGATTGATCCACATAGTCATGATTTCACTATGTAGAACAACAGATTGCCTTCTCCAAACAGACATTTTATTAGTTAAACCCTTAGTTGGCAATGGAAAAGCATGACGTCAATCATATATCTCTAGCTTAAAATCAAATTATTTGAAAAGATTCACAATTTTTGCAAATAATTTCAACTACAAAATATAAGATGGCATCGTTTCACCCTGAAACGTACTATGAATATATGATAAATTTTACAATAGATGATCTAAAAGCATATTAAAAAGTCAAATAACATTTAAAGAGATCCAGTTACTATTTGGGTGTAGCGACCAGGATCATACAAATAAACTTACGACGGCCAGTGATCAACAGGGATGTTTTTTGATTTAGCATTCAAGCCTGGAACCCGGAGTGTGTGCTTCGTGAAACTTTGTGATACAGCTGAACGAATCTTACGCGATGCAGATCCCTTCAGCTTTTTGATGACTGTACTACTAGAATTCTTCTGTGATCTGGCAGTCTCTAACAAATGACATAGTTTCTCACGGTTCTTTTCTAGGTTGGAATCATTGTTTATGATGTTGCTTTGATGTTTTAAATGCAAGTGAATCATTTTATCAATACCTGAAAACGGAAAAAATATCTATGAACAACGACGATAAACTTATCTAGCAAACGATAAGCTTAGATTTTGGGCTATAGGAAATCCTATTTAAAAGATGAATGGGTAGTGTTGCTGGATTGACAAGTCCTAGTTACATTATTCTATGGTGTTTATCAAAATATCCTAATAGACGATCACTGGTCAGACGTTAAACCCTTTGTCCGAACTTGTCAAGTGAATTTAGGACCGACAAGTGACAGATTTTGTTTAAATTGTTCTTGATTTTATTCCTCTATCATCAAATATAACTACTCAGTGGATAAGAAAACAAATAATCAACTCATTCACCAAGCACTTGGGTATGAGCTATACTTTAATTGTGAGATCTAATGATAATGCCCGGTCGCTCAAACTAAAGTAAGTGAGGTAGGGTTTGGATGTGAGGCTTAGTGGCTGAAAGACGAACGCCTTAACAACTAAGCTTGAATTATTACGTAGCCTGAGTTGTAGGACAGGAAAATTTGACTATACAACCAGAATCTCCTGGGATGCCGTTGAGTTGTGACTTTCACCTCAGAATGAGTAAGCAAAGTGAATAAATATTTCAAATTAACTCTATAACTGGTTAGGGATAACAAAAATGTCAATTACCTATACACTTCGAGTTCCTAACTGGGCTCCTGAAGTTCAAACAACCACTTACTAGAACTGATTTGTGCCGCATAAATAAGCCCAGGGGAGATAGTTACGTGCAGCAAAAATGAGATGATTGACCTTCCGAACACTTAAATGAACTTCACGCCTGCTAAGTGGCTTGTACCGTAAAACTTGAATTAGGAATCTGGAGAAATTTTCGAGTGTTTAGGGTATTTTAGTATTATTGAAAGCTATGTTGCTCTTGATAGGTCAGTTTTCAGCTATATCACGGAATACATACGACATTTATATGGATATCCTCAACCTACACTAACAATGATATGTGACATACATGACCATCTACTATGGACTTAGCATACTTGGTAGTGATCCAAACTTCTTTTATTTGACTGTGAAACACCAATGTTGAAGTCAGATCGTATTTATAGGTCACAGTTGTTTATTTGTCTTCAAAGCGCTGTGTATTAGGCTTAATAGAGGAATAAAATAAATACTATTGGAAAAAACCACAATTATTAAACATTATGACTGCCTATAGCTTTTCACACTGTACCACAGCTTCGGGGCTTGTGTCAACACATTTTCGTTCTTGGGGTTCACTATCATTAAGGAAAGCAGTGCTAAGAATAGATTAGATGAATTAGATTGCAAGTATTTATGAAAATATGTCTTTAGAGCACTTGCAGTGTATCAGAACAACCAAAAAGGATGTTTAGGTTGTTCAATACTTTAGGTAAAGAAAATAAGCTAGCTCGCCGGTTTCTGACAGTTAATACGAGTGCTTTTATATTAGAGCATTTAAATAGCAACACTTAGAACATTATTATTATTACTATTATTTGAACACAGATATTGGTACAAGGAGGCACCAAATACATATGCTCCACACAAATCTCATTTGATTTGTGTGAGGGCTGTTATTTATTTATTTATTTTAACACATAAGTATAGGTACAGGGAGGCACCAAGTACATATGCGCCACACAAATCTCAATTGATTTGTGTGAGGGCTGTGATACTGCACGGGTGACCAAACCGAAGATGGTTTTCTTAGGGGGCCACACCCCGAGCCTTAAAGGTCTGATTTACAAGGCAGTGGAGCATCGTGAGGAGGTGCAGTTCCATAGTAGCCGGTGACAAATGATTGGTTCATACGCCATTTGTTCCTTCAGTACACTGGAGTCCATGTGCACCATTAATTTGGAATCAGGGTTTTCCAACTCCAACTCCGCCTGTAGCTCTTCCAGAGTTACTGCCGGTCCCAAGCCCGGGTAAAGGAGGAGGGTTGGGCATGGGGTTAGCGTCCCAATCCCGTAGAAACCTAACTCGCTAAAAAAACGCTAACCAGAAAAAATAACTCAAACCATTTAAACCCTGCCCTGGGAGTTAGAGGTAATATGACGCTTCATGGTGAAAGCCGAGTTCCTTCGGAAGCCACGAGGCCGATGCCCCTTCTAACAACCAGAGCAACAATTTTTATAGGTACATGGAACGTCCGGACAATGTGGGAGACCGGGAAGACCAGTCAAATAGCAACGGAAATGAGGAGATACAACTTGGCAGTACCGGGAATCAGTGAAACCCATTGGACCCAAGCTGGACAACAAAGGCTAAATACGGGAGAGATGCTGCTATACTCCGGTCACGAAGAGGAAAATGCTCCACACACTCAGGGAGTTGCTCTAATGCTATCCAAAGTAGCACGAAATGCACTTGTAGGATGGGAATCTCACGGATCCAGAATCATCAAAGCATCATTCAAAACAAAGAAGGAGGGTATCACAATGAACATTATCCAATGTTATGCACCTACCAATCATAGCAACGACGACGTTAAGGATCAATTCTATGAGAGGCTGCAATCAATCATAGAGAAGTGCCCAAGAAAGGACCTCACCATTCTGATGGGAGATCTAAACGCCAAAGTCGGAAAGGACAACACCGGATATGAAGACATCATGGGACTGCATGGACTGGGAGAGAGAAACGAAAACGGGGAAAGATTTGCAAATCTGTGTGCATTCAATAAATTGGTCATAGGCGGTACAACATTTCCACACAAACGTATACACAAAGCTACGTGGATCTCACCGGACCACACCACAGAGAACCAGATAGATCACATTTGCATCAATAAAAAGTTCCGAAGGACAATGGAAGATGTGAAAACCAGGAGAGGAGCGGACATAGCTTCAGATCATCACCTAGTTGTGGCCAAATTGAAACTGAAGCTAAAGAAGAACTGGACAACTGGACAAACAGCACCACAAAGGTTCAATACAGCCTTCCTTCGAGATACTGACAAACTCAATGAATTCAAGGTAGCTCTCAACAACAGGTTCCAAGCCTTACAGGATCTACTGAAGGAAGAAGAAACTACTATGGAAGATAGCTGGAAAGGTATCAAAGAAACATTAACTTCAACGTGTCAAGAGGTTCTGGGCCCCAAGAAACATCATCACAAGGAATGGATCTCTACAGAAACACTGGACAGGATCAAAGAAAGAAAGAACAAGAAGACAGCAATTAACAACAGTCGAACAAAAGCAGAGAAAGTCCAAGCACAAGCAGAGTACATAGAAGCAAACAAGAAAGTGAAGAAGAGCATTAGAGCTGATAAGCAAAAATACGTGGAAGAACTAGTAACGACGGCGGAAAAAGCTGCAAGAGAAGGAAATATGAGACAGCTTTACGATACGACGAAGAAGCTTGCAGGGAAATACAGTAAACCAGAGAGACCAGTCAAAGACAAAGAAGGAAGACCAATCACTGAGATTCAACAACAGCGCAACAGATGGGCAGAGTACTTCGAGGAACTCCTGAACAGACCGGCTCCAATGAATCCACCGGACATCGAAGCAGCACACACAGATCTTCCTATAAATGTCAATCCACCAACGACAGAAGAAATCAGAATGGCCGTCAGACAAATCAAGAGCGGGAAAGCAGCAGGACCTGACAATATACCAGCTGAAGCGTTGAAGTCAGACATCGAAGTAACTACAAGCATGCTTCATCTTCTATTCAAGAAGATTTGGGAGGAGGAACAAGTGCCGATGGATTGGAAAGAAGGACACCTCATCAAGATTCCAAAGAAAGGAGATCTGAGCAAGTGTGAAAACTACAGAGGCATTACACTACTGTCAATACCGCGTAAAGTCTTCAACAGAGTGTTACTGAACAGGATGAAAGACGCAGTTGACGCTCAACTTCGAGATCAACAAGCTGGATTCCGTAAGGACCGGTCGTGCACAGACCAGATTGCGACACTACGGATCATCGTCGAACAATCAATTGAGTTGAACTCGTCACTCTACATCAACTTCATTGATTATGAGAAGGCATTTGACAGTGTAGATAGGAGGACGTTATGGAAACTTCTTCGACACTACGGAGTTCCTGAGAAGATTGTCAACATTATCTGGAACTCATACGATGGACTACAGTGCAAAGTAGTGCATGGAGGACAGCTGACAGACGCATTCCAAGTAAGGACCGGAGTAAGACAAGGCTGTCTACTCTCTCCCTTCCTGTTTCTTCTGGTGGTCGACTGGATTATGAAGACCTCGACATCTGAGGGAAACTACGGCATACGATGGACAGCTCAGAACCAATTAGACGACTTGGACTTCGCAGATGACCTAGCCCTCCTATCACATACACACGAACAAATGCAGATAAAGACAGCCAGCATAGCAGCAGTCTCTGCATCAGTAGGCCTCAACATACACAAAGGGAAAACCAAGGTCCTCAAACACAACACGGAGAACAGCAATCCAATCACTCTTGATGGCGAAACTCTGGAAGACGTGGAATCCTTCACATACCCGGGAAGCATCGTCGATAAACAAGGAGGTTCAGATGCAGACGTCAAGGCGAGGATTGGCAAAGCTAGGGCGGCATTCCTTCAACTGAAGAACATATGGAACTCAAAACAACTTTCAACCAATATCAAAGTCAGAATCTTCAATACGAACGTCAAGGCAGTTCTACTGTACGGAGCTGAAACTTGGAAAACTACAAAAACCATCATCAAGAAGGTACAGGTATTTATTAATAGCTGTCTACGCATGATACTCAACATCCATTGGCCGGATACCATCAGCAACAGCCTTTTGTGGGAGAGAACCAACCAGCTTCCAGCTGAAGAGGAAATTAGGAAAAGACGATGGAAATGGATAGGACATACATTGAGGAAATCATCAAACTGCATTACGAGACAAGCGCTAACTTGGAATCCTGAAGGGAAGCGGAAAAGAGGAAGGCCAAAGAACACATTACGTCGGGAAATAGAAGCAGATATGAAAAAGATGAATAAGAACTGGAAAGAGCTTGAAAGGATTGCCCAGGACAGGGTTGGATGGAGAATGCTGGTGAGCGGCCTATGCTCCTTCACGAGGAGTAACAGGCGTAAGTAAGTAAGCAAGTAAGTAAGTTTTCCAACTCCCCTAGGTGGAATCCCCATAACAACCAGCCCAGTTAAAGCGCCGGACATCCGCTTTTCGTCCTCTCATTTTCGTAAACAACACCTCCGCTGCGAGAAGGCAGTGAGTAGGAATTCCCTGGTAGAGGCTATATGCGCGTGGCCATATGAGAGCATCTCGAGAGGGTGAGCGGACTCTCCCCACTCTTGGCCGTACCAGGGCATTTGAGGGCGACACTTAAAACAATATGAGGTACATAGTAATATACGAACCCATACAAAATTGAGTTGTCGATGAACACTTAGAGATTCATTTCTTACTTCAATATTATCTCAGCGACGCAGAGTACGGAAGGGCAATACACTGAACTGGACAGCACTTTACTCTGCATTACTCCACCGCTATGGAACATGGTCTGTGAAAGTAAAAAAATAGGCTGGATGGGGGTTTCTGATCATAGGTTTCTTTCAAGTGTTCTGTCAGAATCCGATGTTCGGAAAATACAACTGTTGTGCCTAATGTATGATGGGTTTCAGTTCGGTTATTGTAACGATGTTAAATGCATTTATATCAACATCAAATGAAAATTCATTTAAGGCGGATGACAGACAGTAGAGTTGTATTGAGTAAAAACCATACTAAATACCTAAATGTGAAATCCGGGAATCATTTGTTTAAAGCACAATAGTTTTAGTATGAAATCTGTGCTACTAAAACAGAACAAATTGAGTCAACCTAAGCTACGTTTTGTTAGGCATTCAGATATTAGCTTGTTAGCCATTAGTGATAAACATTTGTTTCATGCTTCAAAAATTAAAGTAATCACTTGATACAAACGCCAAGTCAAAGTCTACTTTGTAATCTTTAGACGTTTTGCTCTAAATTTAAGAAATACATTTAAAGGTTTACGGAGAGTCCTAAATGTTTTCGAACAGATGTTGTGATTTACTGCTTTACCCCAAAGGAAGTCTAACTATTTCAGGGGAATGAAAACGGAGAGTAGTGGATGGAACCTAAAAGGAACTTCAGAGACTCCAAAGATTTGGTAATATGCAATGTTTACACATGTGTAAACATTTGTGAAGTACTATTTGGGTACCTAAAGGTACAGGTGAAGTAATTGTCAGACATATTATTGCCTCAAAATAAAAAATAAAATTCACGTACCGATTTTAAGCTCTTTATCGTCTATTCTGTGTAACTTGAGTCCTTTTGCCTGAAGCTCAATATTATTTATTAACCTATATATTCATGCTCAATCGTAACCGTCATATGAAACTAAACCTTTCGTAACGATTCGCAGCTATCGAATTTATTTGGTTTTCTACTTCAGTATCAACATCAAGGAAATCCTTTTGGGCAGCGCACGCATTATTACATGAATTCTGTTAATTCGGAGTATAAGAAAAGTTAATATGATTTGCCTGTATGTTTTTCAAGTCTTTTCCAAATTTAGAGAGTAGAAAATCTGCTAAAGTCTTTCGTTTTTCTCCTAACAAGGAGTAAAACTCCTCTACCTTCATTATCGTCTGTTAGCGCTGTTCTCCAAGGTCAACATTAGAAACCAAATAGAGAGGCAGGAATACCATGTCCAATGTGACATCGGATTTTAGATTCAAACTTGAAAAATAAACGGAGGTTATTCAGTAGAAATCTTTTTCCAGTATTTTTCCATTTTTTTCTGTGTTTTTTTCTGTTAGATCAAGTATAACAACGGAAACTACTACTTTTGACATTAGGTGTAAAATTATGGTCTACTATGTTATTAGTAATGCTCTAATAATAGACGTAATCCTAAAATTGTAGATTTGTTATGATGTAACTGCCTAATCTATAAGATCTCACGTGCAAATCACATCATGAACGACGCCAATTAACTGCATCGTAACAATTACCAACACATGATGGAGAAGAATTTCAGGCTAGAGATGGAACAATATATTTCATATGAATAAAAGAAATAAGGTAACATTCAACAGGGACCATGCATGCATGGCCGAGCCATGCCATACGATCAACTCCAATTTATTCAATTCATTATCCCCACCTCAATTCTTCTGTATTTCTCCGCGTTAAATGTTGAATGTCTATTTCCCATTGCAGATCACCAACGTAGATGATCTATGTCGAAATGATTGGAGGCTTACTCGAGTTAGGCGTGGGTGGTGTGACAAACTAGCTAACGTCGAAGTAACACTTTGCGATCTGCACCTTACATGGATTACCCCATTGAGGTATCAAGGTACTATAGATACTTTGAAGACTGTACAACACAGAGGGCGTTATTACATATATATATTAGTTAAAGTAGATACAAACGAAGGTGAGACCACTGCCGCATGGGCCAGTCCATGGCGTACGATTAAACAGATGAGCGTTGGCTGTCCTTGACCTCGACGAGGATTGATGATTTGTTCGATATTCAATGACCCAACTATCGGATGATTTGGCTAGGGCTCAGTGGAATTTCGCTGGCCCTACACCATATTGTTTTGTGGTAGGGTCCACTGCCACCACATAGGTTCCAGGTGCTTCTCAACGATAGTTGTTGGGGTTTCCGCAGTTTTAACACGTGGAATTCTTTCGTCATGGTTCCGATTGTATCCTATCCTGTCAGAGAGTCTTATAAAGGGCCAAATGTTTCCTTATTGTATTTTTATACATCCATCCATTACTTCATAGAAATGATGAACCATTCAGTATTCAGCCTGTAGATCACTAACGTAGGAGATCTGTGTTGGGTGGATTTGAACTCAACGTTTCTACGTAAACCTGATGTATCATCCAGTGTAATAACGATCACGTTTACGATCATGTAATCATTGAATTCGTTATATTGTGACGTATTTTTTTATTAAAGAACTAGAATATACTGTAAATCTTGCTCCGGTTGTAATTTTGATTTGCCACGTCCGACTAAGTTACGCCGGACATGCATTGCATGCTGGAATGATATTCTAAGCCACAGTAAGTTTAATCACAGCGATGGTTTTTTTCAAGTAGACTGTCAATGAACAATGTTATTGGAGAAAGGTTTGTTGTGCTGTAAACTATGTTTTTATGAGTAGGCGACTGTTGTCTTCAATCTCAAAACAACATCGTTTGTCTTCTGTTGTTCCGTTAAGCTTATGGTTTATTATGTAGAAGTAAATATTTGGACATAAACTCTAATATATTCAGTATTTTTTAAACGAATACACAGGTATTTTCATTCGTACGTTACTACCCCTTCTGAACTGATAGCAGCTAAACTCCGATTTGTACTTAAACCAAATCACATACTCAAACACATCTGCGACATTATTACGTGTTAATGCATCGGTACAATTATCTGTCTCTTCTAGGAAAACGTTTAAACGTATTTTCATAAATTAGGAAATTAGTTTCTCTTTTCGGCATATTCGAAGCTAAATGTTCCGTCATCGCTTTCGAAAAGCATGTTGCAGAAGAACATAAGAGAAAAGGAAATTAAAAGAAATGAATATTTGTGTTACCGATTCGCTCTCACAATCATTGTAATTTGTTTCAAATCAAAGAACTTGTAGCGTGGTGTCGAGTTGAGCTTGACTATGAACACCGCTACAAGACTACGTGCCAATTAACCAATAAGATCCCCGTAGGCCAATATCAGAAGATAGATGATGGATGTAGTCGAAATGTATTTGTTGGCGATCTCGTGGTATAGAAAGAATACCGGGATCGTGCAAAAAGGAGTACAAGCGTGGTTAGTGAGCATAACCGAATTCGTACAAGTTCAAAGTCGACGGGAGAGTAAGTGTAATGGCTGTAATTAGCATAGTTAAACAAACGAGCACAGTAAAACAATCACTGGTACAATTGGTTATAATAATAATAACTGTTTTTATTGAACCAATCGCGTTCTGTTGACAAAAGTAGGTCACTACAAACTAATAAATTATCATAACCAAATGTATAGCAGGTTGGAAACAATAATACATTTTTTCTGTACATAATAAATAACTGTAAACAAAAAAGCATGTTACCAATGGTGATAGACAACTGTTAAATTATTTGTAAATTGATAAAGCTTCAACAATAAACTTCAATGATACTTTTAATGATATTGCTTCTGATGTCTGTCACGCAATATAAAATTGTCCAACTCTGACCGAATTATGACTACTCAACGAATAAAACTGATTTCGTTTAAACTACTTAGGGTGGGTTCATTGATACTCTTCTGGCAATAATGAAAACTAATATCATCTATTTGAATAGCTACTCAGTAGAGCTATTGTCTTTTATTTTCAGTGAAAGAAAACTGATGTGTTTATGAGTACGTGCAATCAACCTACTGGAGTTCGATATTGGTCAAAAAATAATTAAATATTTATTACAGAGATTTCAGAAACAATCAGACATATTTTTCATGCATGAATTATATACGCAAGCGAGAGAGTATCACTAAAGAAAATGAAAACTATCTGCACTCTTGACGAAGATATGCTTCATTGATTTAACTGATTTTCCTCTCATCAATGTATCTTATTTTTACAAACCTACAAAAGTAATACACTATAAAGCTAAACTTAAAGATGAAGTTCATTATCTTAGTAAATAACATTGTTGATATTTTATATGACAACTAAAAAACAAGTATGGATTAAATAAAGGTAAGTCTATTGAATATTTCATTATATTAAGATATGATATTGATGTTAAGAATTTGTCTACGCTATCATATTTTATTTTATAAAAGATATAACTGAAAGAATATTTCTCTCAACGACCTTATTTACTAATGAATAAGCAATAAATAGTTTCATTAATTATTTACTATATTCGTTTATTATTTATATCAAATAAAATGTAGAGTTAAAGTAATTTACAACATTATTAATTGAAGACCTAATTTTTACTTATTCATTAAAATTCATTCATCGAAATGTCCTATGGTTATTATACTTCTTTGAAATATCATTCATAATATTAGACCTGTATTGTTTCAGAGATCTTTGTCTATGTACAGGTCTTAATTTAGAAAAGAGAATTTAGGTCACAATTTATAGGATAGATAATTATTATTATTTATTTTTATTTATACTAATCTCATTCTGTAATAGTTTTTCTTTTTCCTTCTTTTCTCCTTTAGATAAGTCTTGAACAATTCCTAATTTATATTAAGTATCTAACATCTTTTATTCTATAACAGATAAGAAAATATTCTATTGATTATTGAATGTCGGCATTAGTGATTTTAAGTTTAAAAAAGAAATTTGAAAAAGTTAATGAGAATATCAACTTTTAGTTTCAAAATTATTTGTTAATAACATGGAGTAATCGTGTGTCTGTATCGACCATATTCAATGATAGTTTTCTCGACTTTAAAGTAGCATTTGATTCTGTTGACCGAGAGGTTCTGTGACAGTGTCTGTCATTGAAAAGCGTATCTCAGAAGTACATAAACCTTGTGAAGGCTCTTTACTCAAATACTACCAGTCGAGTCAGAACTTATGGCGAACTGTCATCTGATTTTGCAACCTTAAGTGGCGTCTGTCAAGACTGTTCACGTTCTTCATTTTTGTTTAACTTTATCATAGACCTCCTGATGGAAATAACATTCTTGTCGACTGAATTCTCGGGTATTGATCTCTTACCAGGAGGTCCACTTATTGACTTAGAATACGCAGATGACATAGTCCTGTTTGGTGAAGACGCTGATGAAATGCAGAGTCTTTTGGTAGCACTGAGCAACAATGCCAGAATGTTTGGGATGCACTTCTCTCCCTCTAAATGCAAGTCGTTGCTTCAGGACTGGTCTGCGTCAACACCTGAACTAAGGAAATGGAGTGAAGTAGTCGAACGCGTTGACAACTTCACTTATCTTGGAAGTCTGATCAGCCCTAATGGGTTGGTGTCTGACGAAATCCATGCACGGATTGAGAAAGCTCGTTTGGCTTCTGCCAACTTACGTCACTTATGACGAAGGCGCGATATCCGTCCATCACTTAAGGGACAAGTATATTGTGCGGCAGTTTGTTCTGCTCTAAGGATAGAAGATACTCGTATGTTTCTATTATTTGATCACAGATGTCTTAGAAGTATTGCTTGCATCTACTGGGATGCACCGAGTAAGTAAAAGCGATGTTAGACTCACGGTATTAGGGAATGATGGTAAATCAGTTGATGAGGTTATGAATCTTCATAGACTGAGATGGTTGGTCCACTTGTTACATATGGCTGAACACCCATTACCACGACGTGAAATGCTGATTAGTGTTGGAGACTCTTGGTGACATGGCTCATAATCGATCACGATGGCGTCGGTGTATACACTCTTTGTCTTCCCTTGAACCATGAGATTAAAATTGCTTCATACTTTTATTCCTATGAACTAATTCTTTCTTACTGTATTATATCCTTACACACAATCTTTTGTTTATACATTGCTACTATTAAAGTGACTACTTCTATGAATTTGCTGTTCATCTTGTGCTAATGAGATGTGGAAACTTGGACCGATACATATTTGTGTCTGGTCCTAAGTTGTAGCTGAGTGAGTGAATGGCTGGAGTTATCCTGAAGCTGTAAGAACTGA